TATATATATATACATCTCAAGAGATACACATACCTACATTTGTGTTGCAAGTGCTATTGCTAATTTAATTACACTAATCCCTTTCGTCCATGTTACTGATGATACCTTTAAATCTGTCCCTGGTGAAATATAGCCTTTATCGTGTTGGCTTGGAGCTTATTAGTATTACATTCTCTGATTACATTTAACCCCTTGCTGTAGGCCTATGGGCCTTGTGTCCACAGACACAGAACACACGATTTAATCCAACGACACGGAGTCACTGCCTCTTGCAGTCATGCACCCGTATCACTATCAGTTTGTTTCGTCCAGAAAGTTGAAATCGGCCTTGTTTTTAATCAGAAGGCAGGGGCAGTTACTCGTTACTACCTCACTCGCTGCCGGACTGCCGGAGTTCTGTCCTGACTCAGATCAGTTCGCTGCCTGCTGTGGATTTTTACCTGTCTTAAAAACTCAAATACTATGTAACTATTAATGTTCAAATACAGAAATCTAGCTGATTTCAGTAAGAGATGTTGATCTTTACAGAATAGAAAGAATTTTGACTGGATATTATTTTGCTCTTGTTTTACAGGTGTTTAAGAAACGACAATTTTTGTGCCCCCTCCTTCTTTTATACTGAACTGTCTATCCACAAGCCCAAGAATAGATCTAATCTAGATCTAGACTCTAGATCTAGATCTAAATCTAGATTTAGATCTAGAATCTTCCAAATCTAGATCTGTTTCTGCTGTTTTTGTGAATGTGTTGGAGTAGGGGATCGTTGTAAGAGTGTACGGGTCAGCTGCTACACTACAATCTTTTTGGCTACTGACCATTAAAAGAAAGACGGGCACTACTTGACTCGGATATGGTGGTCCTGACTTTTGTGTAGGCCTACTGAAATATCAATACTGATTTAAATAGTCTGTATCAATGTTTTATCAGTAGCCTAGATCTAGATCTAGAATCTAAATCTAACCTACAAAATGAGCAATATTTAATTTCTCTTGTTTTTCACAAAGCAAGGGGGGGTTGCCCCCCTGACTAAAAAAAAACAAAACATGGGGTGTTTCAGCGGGGCATGCCCCCCTGAATTTGGCCACGATATGATGTTTTGCAATTAGGTTTGAAAGGCTATCTCTCCGGCTTGCGAATCAAAAAGTAATCGTTTAGACTTAGAACCAGAAGTAATCGTCGTTGGGGTCGAAACTAGATCTAGATTCTAGATAAAATTCTCTATTTCCCTATCACAAAAGTCGGGACCACCACCATATCCGAGTAGTGCCGAAAGACGTCTTACAATGAATCCCCTACTCCAAGCCACTGTTCTCATTCTCAGATCCAAAATAGTGATCTTCTTCTTGTTCAACATCTCTAAATTAATAACTAAATCTACAATCTAGATAAATCGAAATGAAAATGGAACTACTCTCTCTACTAGATTTAGGGGAGGACTTTCTGAAAGAGCGAGCACTATGAGACAACAGAGTAGAACAGGATTGGGGCTCTCTTCGGGAGAAGTGGTCCCGGCCTAACTCCATAGAAATATTTTAGATCTATCTACATTTATGTACACAATCGGAAACAACGGAAGTCGCGTAAAAAAGGGGGGGAGTAGTCCCCCTGCAAAAAAGGGGGCTCAGGGGGGTCTTCCCTCTGCTAAATTCACAAAAATAACGGTTTGTGACAGTTTTTAGTGCCAAAATTGTTCTCAGCGCACAAAAAAACCTGTTAAAATAGTGCCCAAAAATA